AAGTATACTTGAAGTATACTTTAATATACTACTTTTTGCTAAGGGTTGTCATCATTGTATGTTTCCATACAATGGCAGAATTAGTTCTCCGCATTTAACCCATTGCACCTGGGATACATCCAGGTGGGCAGTAAGCAGCTGTGTGGGTGCAATAGGGGATTGGGTGTCTTGCTCAGAGGCACTACGACATGTGGGAGTGGCTGGGGATCGAGCCTGGGGCTTTCGGGTCCGGGTCGGCTACCCTGCTTCTACCACATGTCGGCCCCCAATGGAAGAAAGGAAAATTGCAGTTACAAGGTGTTTCCTAGCATTCAGAGTTAGACAAGATCTATTTCTGAAAAAGAAACCCAATTTAACTTCCACTTTCTTTACCAAGTTTCCCATGTGGCGCTTAAAAGTGAGAAGCAAATCGACCAAGATACCCAAATATTTGTAGGAATCGACAAACTTAATAGGAGCACCATTCTAAGCTAAAATAGAAAGAAGGACTGCTGGTACAGACTTCCTGTTTGAAAACAACATCCCTTTGGTTTTGTCGGCGTTTAGTACAAGTTTGAGATGGAACAAATCTGACTGGATGATGACAAAAGCAGACTGCAAAAGCTGGAAAACCTTAGCAACTGTTTTAGCTTGACAATAAACAACTGTATCGTCAGCATAGAAATGTAAGGGTGCATCAGGGATGCTCTGAACATTACCTATGTAGATTGTGAAGAGGGTGTGTCCTAAGACTGAGCCTTTTGGTACACCATTATTAACAGTAAGATAACTGGATGAGGTACCATTATATTGAGCACATTGCCTCTGATCTGAGAGATAGTTAGTGAACCAACCAATGTATGTTTCAGAGGTTCACGTGGCGATCCAAGGGTTCAGGTGGCTCACTAGAAAGATCACATAGCACAGGTAAGTATTCACAATGTTCAAATAACACACAAAGGGCTGAGAGCACGAAACCTACAGGGTAATGCTCCAGCATCGAAGTGAAGTACTTCTTCTACTTCTTCTTGTATTGTTTTATGGTGGTTGGCAGACCAAATGTGAAGGTGCATTACCACCACCTACTGAACTGGAGTGTGGGAGATAGAAAAAAAAAACTAATGTTGTGAAATCTATGTAATAATTCAACTAAATTCTCTCTATTAAGTTTGTATTTTTCATGAAAAAAATATTTGAGCCTTTACTTTACTGATATCACTACTAAAATGTTACTAATTGTAAATTTAATATTAATTTTATTTATTTATTTTTGGAAATCCCTTCTTTTTGATTCATAACCAGAACATTCCATTAAAAAAACATGCTGTACCATTTCAGGGAGATTACATTTATCACAAAGTCCCGCTGCATGTTTTCAAAGTCAAGGTCAAGGTTTTTTTTATTGTCATTCGCATTATACAGTATGCGGTACATGTGGTGGAACAAAACTGTGAACAAAGGGTCCCAGTTACATCCAACAAAAGTATCAATTGTAAAGAAAAACAGTAATAAAATCTAAGTAAGAAATATGCTGAATTAAGAATATGCTATAAGCACTAATATTACAAAAACTATTTGCCGAACAACAGCAGCATGAACATGAAGGAGGGTGGGGTAAAGTCATTATTTCCATTTACTTTAAGATATTTATTAAGACCTATATGTCCTTTTCTAATATAAGTAATTATTGATTCTAGTTTCCCATTTCTTCCTGCTTTCCTTGTATAGCCTACCTTTTTTTGAATGCATGTACGTGTCTTCATGTATCATTCACGTCCCAGTTTTCTTGCCATATTTTATTAATATAATTATTTATTATCATTTTACTTTATCATTTTACATTCATCTTTTGAATTTCATAATATATATTTTTTATTTTAATGCCTGTTTTGCAAGAATGTCTGCTTATTCATTACCTTCCACTCCCACATCATTTCAGCATCGAAGTAATCTCAGCATCAGCATCAGCCCCTGGAACCTCATCAGCGTCTATTGCCCGCAGTTGTGTAGGTATGGCACCCTCTGGTGCTCGAATGCCAAAACTCTCACATAAATACATGTACATATGCAGTACAGTGCCATAAAAACATTTTTATTGTAATAAAAAATAGCATTATTTGAAGTATTTTTTGCAAAGAATTGGTTTATAAAAATATTTCTTGTTAGCATTTTTGTAAAAAAAACTTGGGCTTTTCAGCCCATAAGCAACAATTAGAAGCCATGTTCCATATCTAAACTATAAAAGGACCGGACACTTTGTGACACATGAAAGCAGTTAAAATTATTTTTAATAGAAACGAATTGCCCATTTTTCAGGTAAATCATCCACAAATAAAATATTTCCTTGTATGCCATGAATGTATTTTTAAAACAGTTTTTAAATAATTTAGGGAGTGGTGACGCAGAGGTTAGAGAAGGTGGGCCTGTGATTAGAAGATCGCCCATTCAACTCCCGGTACTGACAACAACAATGTGGGTGGGAAAGGTGAAGCACCCACGCCTGCTTCCACTCTCATTTTCTCCACTCTGGGCCCTTGAGCAAGGCTTGGGTGCTCTAGCTCCACACAGGGGGCTGTGGTAGCTTGGTGGTCTGTGGTCTGTGTAAGTCCAGTGTAAAAACGATCGCCAAGTCTTCGTGTGACTTAGTTCGCTGTGGCGACCCCTGAAGAAGGGAGCAGCTGAAATAGAGTAAAACATGTATTTTTAAATAGATTCTTGAGCCCAAGCTTTTATTCTTATTTTGTGTTTTTGTGTTAATTTTTAGTTGTGATATCTCTTTCTTCATGAGGTTCTTGTTTTAAAAAATGTATCCTAAAATTATATACAACTAAACAGGTGGCATAGTAAAGCAGTGATTACAGCTGTCACCTTATAGCAGGAAGGTCACAGGTTTGCCTCCTGGCCTTTCTGAGTGAAGTTTACATTTTCTTCCTGTGCACGCATTAAGTTTTTTTTCTGCTTGCTCCAGTTTCCTCCCCCAGACTGAAAACATGCATGTTAGGCTGATTGGTAACTCTGATTTTCTCTAGGTGTGAGTGAGAGAGTGAATGGTTGTTTGTCTCTTTTGTCTCTATGTGTCCCACTGATGGACTGGAGACCTGTCCAGGCCTGCCTCTCACACAAGTGACTGTTGGATATGGGCACCAGTGACACCCCTGACCTGAAAAGGAAGCAGCAGTTAAAGATAATTGATGGATGGATGTTGTACCCTTTCTATGGTGTACCCCACCTCTCACACAGTGACTGCTAGAGATACACCAGCTGCCCTGACTCTGGAAGGAGACGGCGAGTATAAGAAAATGGATGGATGGATTGAAATATAGTTTAGTGTCTGTTTTTATTGTTAGTTTTATATTTTTTTAAAGTAATTTTTCCCTTGAATTCCTCATCAATAATGTTACTGTATATGTCTAATTTCTTTAGTGCGTATTTTTGCATCTATTGTATAATTATCAGGATTTCTTTAGGATGCCTCTGTATCTTTGTTTTTCTTTTGACTTCTTTTTCATATCTTGTTGTAGTCCATCCATCCATCCATCCATCCATCCATCCATCCATCCATCCATCCATCCATCCATCCATCCATCCATCCATCCATCCATCCATCCATCCATCCATCCATCCTGTCAGCTTGCAACTTGTTATTTTTTTTCTTCTTTTTATAAGTTTATCTTTTTTGTGATCTATCTTGTTTGGTGCAAGTCACATTTTCAAATGTCAAATATTTTAAAGTTTAAAAGATCTCTGACTTTATGAAGGTTCCATGCAAGTTCTTTTCAAATGTTATTACACACAAGCAATGCTTTGTGTATTGTTGATTATCTCCTCACCTATTCACCTGTAAAACTAAACTATATATATATATATATTTATTTATTTTTTCTTTCAGCTGCTCCCTTCTTCAGTGGTTGCCACAGCGAACTAAGTCGCACGAAGATTTGACAATTGTTTTTACGCCAGATGCCTTTCCTGACACAACCACAGACCACTGAGCTACCACAGCCCTCTTTGTGGAGCAGAGAGCTGCTATCAATGGTGCCCAGGGGAGCAGATGGTGGGGGGTTAAGGGCCTTGCTCAAGGGCCCAGAGTGGGGCAAATGAGGGTGGAGGCAGGTGTGGTTTCCCATCCACATAAAAAAAATATTGTCAGTACGGGGAGTTGAAACGTCAACCTTCCGATCACACGTCCACCTTCTCTAGCCTCTGCGCCGCCACTCCCAATTATGAATATAATTCAGTAAAACTGAACAATATATAATATATTTAAATTGGATTATGTTAACATATTACAGCCTGGATGAGAAATATTTTGCACCCTCTAAAACCTTTGAAATGCAAATTGAGGAATTAAGAATGAACATTTCTACATTCTATCTTGTTCTATCACCGTATTGAAGCTTGTCACTTAATTGTATGTTTTATATCACAAAATTCTCATGAGATAGTTGTTTTAGCATGTAGTCATTGGACAAACTTGCACGTAACAAATGCAATAATTGGAACATTATGCATGACATCTTATATAATGCGTCTTGAATATAACTTGTTTGACTATATATATATAATGACATTAAATCCTTGTTAAAATCAGTAACCAGAAGCTGCAGGTCTGAGTTTTTATCTGTAGATGGTGCCCCTGCATTTGTCTACATTTCTGTATGTCCTTCTCCCTCACATGCAAAGAAAGTAACAGTGCTGGTGATGAAAATGAAAACGTGTCCTGCACACTTAGGCAGTTTAAATTACAGAATAAAAGCACAAAACAGTGTAGCAACATCACTTTTAATGTAAATTAAACACATTTTTTAGCCATCTATTTAGGAATGAGATAACTCTTTGTTTGCTTGTTCTGTAAACTGAAAACAAGTAAAGACACGTTGAACCGTTTCTTGTTCTGTGATGTGACATTTATGTTTTTTTCCGTTAAAGTTAATTGTTGGTATGTGCAAATATTTGGGCACACTTCAACTGTTTGTTTTGTTGGGCGAGGCAGTACTTTCTTGCAAGTGAGGTGTGCCTTGTGTGAATGTTTCAAAGTGGCTTTTACATCAATTTCACAATTCAAAATAACAGAATATATGACACTTGGTGCTTCTCACGTCACCTATTGCAGTTCTCTTTGTATGCGGCTGATTTGTGTTATTTGGTGGGCCTTCTTTCTCCTAACAAATTATTTTTACTGTAGGTTTTTTTAATTACATATTTTACAGGTTTGTATATGCTCTCTTAATTTTTTTTGTAATTTTTCCACATATTTTTGCTACTTTGTAAACTTTGGTTTGGTGTAAAGAAGTGCAACCATATTAAGTGTAACCTATACCTCTTTAAGAAGTTGTGTGTCATAATGTAACAACTTTAGTCATAGTATGTATGCACTGCACACACAAAAGAGTAGTCTGTTGTTTCTACGAAGCCAAACAAAAAGCAGTGGAAACAGGGCTGTCTGTGCACTTCTTGTCTGTCAGTGATGGAAACATCCCAGAATCTTCTGATCAGACCTCCTCCTGTGACATGCTCACACAATCTGTCTACTAATCACTCTCCATCTGGTAGTTAGATTCTTGGATGTGTTGCACGTTTGACTTATAATTGCTTACATTACAATCCAGTTTGGGAAATTAATGCTCATTTTGGCACAGATCTTTTAAATGTCTATGTTTCGGGCCTGCAAAACCCTTTATGGCAACATGATGAATTTACACCAAGTTATCATTAAACTGTGTCAAAAGCAAGATTTAGGTGGCCTTTTTAAAGCTGCACAATTGTTTAATGATAATTTGATAGTTAGATACACAAAAATATCAAAACGATGATGACTGACACATGTTTAGTCACAGTGAAGCTGTCTGAGCTTTCCCTTTAACGTCACGTTTCTTCACGTGTCTTCCATGTGCAGTGTTGGTACTAATAACAAAGTTTGGTGGCCTGTTTCGCACATGACACCAAGACTCTTTCATGCATAGCCCTCATTATTTAAAAGTTTCCCCATAAATAGATTTGAGGCTCCTTCTCTTTGGCAATAAAGCAGCTGGCCAAACTACAAAGTTACCTAGAAATGGTTAATTTTGATTTTACAGGAAAAAACTGTCATGAACTTTAAGAAATGTTTTTTTCCATCACCCTTTTCACTGTTTTTTTCTTTAATCAGAAATTTGTTTAAATTTATTTACCTTCTAAAAAGTAACATAACAGAAAAACACAAAGTCCATGCTCAATAATCCAGGTATACAATCCAACATTTTTCTATCAGGTCATCTGGACAGTTTCTTTTTTTTGCTGAAATGTTTCGCCTTCGATCCGGAAGGCTTCACACAACAAACTGATTCTTCCCCCAACAGCTTACTCCAAATTGGAACAAACCAGTTCTGCTTGTGATAAGATGGTCTCTTTGGTACGTCCCCTCCTCCATTGCTGGCCCTCTTCCTTGTTGACAGTCTTGTCAAACTGGTTGAAAACAACAAAGTCCATGCTCAATAATCCAATGTGCTCAATAATTAATGTGTGTTTCCTTGACTGATGAAGACTTCTGGACCAAAGGCGAAACGTTTCAGTAAAAAAAAAAAAAACTGTCCAGATGACCTGACTGAAAAAAGTGGAAAAATAAAAAGCATGAAAGAAAAAAAAAAAATACACACATCCACCAGGGCCCGCCTAAAGTTTATTAATCCAAAACTGATAAACAGAAACATGTTTTAAACCTACACATGCCTGCTTGTGCATATACATATTCAATTCAATTCAGTTTAATTTCTATAGCGCCAAGTCACGACAGAAGTCATCTCAGGGCACTGAACAGAAACAGTCATATATATTTAAAAACAAGTTAACAATATTATTTATCTGAGGAGCAGACTGCTTTGAGTTTAACTCCATCGCAGAACTCTCATCTTGAGCAAACACGAAGGCGGCAGTGGAAAGGAAAAACTCCCTCATGAGGAAGAAACTTCCAGCAGAACCGGGCTCAGGACAAGCGACCATCTGCTTCGACCAGCTGGGTTTGAGAGGACAACATATTCTCACTCCCTACTCGTCATATATTGACGCAGAGGGAACCTGACCACGTGCGTCAATATATGACGAGTGGGGAGTGAGAATATGTTGTTGAGAGGAACAGGAAGGCGGAACAGATACACAATGGCAGGTTGAGAATTGCATGTTAAGATAGAAATAATTTCAAATGAAAACTATTCCAATAAAACAATTCATTTCAGGAAATGTGGTCAATTTGTCCTCTAGTAGTCTAAGCCTATGGCAGCATAACAAGCCAACCCTAACTGATTTATTAAAAAAGAAAGTCTTAAGCCCAGTCTTAAAACTGGACAATGTGTCAGTCTCACGGACATAAACTGGAAGTTGGTTCCACAAGAGAGGAGCCTGATAACTGAAAGATCTTCTTCCCATTCTGCTTTTGGAAACTCTAGGAACTCTAGGAGCTCCATGTTAACTAAGATCTTTCCATTGTGTTGCAACTAAATTCTTGGCAGCTGTGAAACCAACTATGACTTTTAATCTGATGAAGTGGGCAGACATGTGAGATCTCATTCAACAACAAAGTGAGTAAAGTCACAAAAAGAATTCTTTTGATGACTGGGCTGCGATCCTTTGACAAAAAAGAGGCAACTGGTCGGCATTCCCCAAAATATGTAGGTTTCTATGGTGTGAGAGCACAATGTGCATAAAGGGTCTGGTAAGTCCTGTAACTTTGAAGTCTACCAGGAGTAAAGTAAGCTCTACAAAGAATTCAAAAGACTTTGTAGAATTACGGTAGTTTTGTCTGATTCTTGAATGGCAGGAAAAATGCTTTTTTTAAAAACTGGCCTGAGTGCTTCAGAAACCTTGCCTTAAGACATGTTGTTACCATAATCCTTAGCTAAATTTACTCGCTGAGGAGCAGCTTTTATGCAGCTTCCTGGTAAATATGGATTCCTTTGCATGTTGCATGTTTACTGTCAACCATAGCTAATCCCTTCAACTCACCTTTAGGAACAGTAAATAATGAGTGTGTGTATTGATACATTGTTCAGTCTTTTATATGTGTGTTTAACTGGAATATTAAAATAAACAAATTTCTTAGTTAAAATAGCATCCAGCATACGTGGCTAAGACAACAACAACAAAAAAGCAGTAATTCTGCTTTTTGAACAAAGAGCAAAACTTTCATTGATGCTAGTTTAAAAGTGGTTTCCAATGTTATGAGCCAAAACATCAAGTTTAGGTTCTTCAGATGATTTCATGAAAAAAAGGCTTTTAAAATGATTGCAAATAGCTTTTCTCCCCTCAAAATTGTTGATAATTGTAGTTCTTATGCACTGATAGGCCTAATTGCAATGTTTGCACATTTAATCTAAAATAGTCAGAAACTAAAACGTTTAGGAACCATTGACTTAAGCCATTTTGATGGTAAACAACAAGGAGAACATTGTTCTTTTGTAGTCAGTTTAAAGGCATTCTTATTAATCAAACATTAGTGGCAGGGAGTATAGTTCAGCCTAAATCGCCATTACTGTAATTTTTTTCTTCTTCCAAAAATAAAACATGGTTTAGGTTAAGTATTTTTATCTACTATTTAAGGTCTCTGTAAAGATACTTCCTGGTTTGTAAAACATAAAAGATGACCATGAACCTGTTCCTTTATCATCTGTTTCAGTTTTAATGTTTGTAGCAAAGGGGAAAGCTGCAGATTTATGAGCTTTGAGCTAATTAGAGAAGAGTTTAAAAGAGCCACTCAAAAGGGTTGTAAACATTAAAGTTGAAAACGAGTCCTCTTGACTCAGTGAGGCTAACCTGTATAAATAAAGGCTGAATGAAACTGCCACTTGAACATTAAAAGTGAGTCAGTACACGCAGATAAAGTTGTTCTGAACACAAAACGTTAACAGGTTTATAAAAGAAGACACAAATTCATCGAAACTTGGTTTGTTACTGCTCAAGCACAAACTTTAGCATCTTAGTAGCATCTTTTACTGAAACACGTTCAAAGTCAATTGTCTAATAGATCTTAAAACATCCCCTGCAAAACAAATAGCCCGTTGATATGAACTCAAATCAAACTTAAATCGTATCGTGCACATATTGTGTGTCATGAAGCCAAAGTGTAAGCTCTGAAATGTTGTTGCTCTGACAGTTTTCAGATCATGAGGCTGGTGGGAATGAGCTGCACCCGCATAGCATGAATGACTCACTAAAGAATGCGAAACATTTACCTTCATTCATCTGGTCAAACAAAAGCTTGACCAGATGAATGACATCAGGTTGCACAGCTCTCCAATAACAAATATATGATGTGAAACCTTCTTATAAACTTGATTTAGTATTTTCCATCTTCATTATAACATAAGTAATGTTTTTTTTGCTGATGTTAATCCTCATTATATAACTTTCTTGTTTGACAGAAACATTTATAACCAGAATATTAAGGTATTTAAACATATTTAAATGCTTTTGATTATTCAATTGGTGTCAGAATTGCTAAACATAAACAAATTTTCTTGCAACTAAAGCAATTTTTAAAATTGTTTTGTCGTTTCATTTATTAAAATAATTAAACCCTTTCTTTAGTTTAACAAGAAGTTTAATCATTCAGAAGATTAGATATTTTTGAAGGTGGAAAAAAACTGATTTGTTTCGCTGCATACATTTCATAACTTATTAAACAAATAAAGTGTTTGATGTCAAAAAATTTTATAAATATAAATGATGTGCCTATACAAATTCTAAAATGAAATTAATTAAGGTGCACCCACACCACGCTTTAAATCTTTTTATTTCTTTCCTTTGTTTGTAATTATTTATAACAATTACTTACAACCAACTAGGTCTATTAATTTTTTTTGTTTGTCTTAGGCACTTCTGAATGAAAATAATGAAGCAAAACGACATTTTTCACTGAAATGTGCTTTGGAACTCACATTGTATACTTTAAAGACAAATATACTGACATAACAGATTTTTAGCTCATTTTTACCACTTGCCAGTTTCATGCAATAGCTACTCTAAATCTATTTAATGACGAAAAAGTGTAACTGTAGTCCATAAAACTTATTCAGACAAATGACATAATGTATCGACTAACAAACGTATCGAAAAGTCCAACATGAAAGTCAAACAAGGAAAACAAAACAATGAATGAATCCTCTTCTTTATTCAGTGGCTGACATTTTTTCTACGCAGCAGCTCTTAACAGGCTACGGTCGCGTAAAGGCTTCTGGGAAATGTAGTTTTACACGAAATGGAATTTTCCAACATATCTAGGAGCGAGTGGAAATTTACCCCAATGTCTCCGCCCCCCGTTTTGTGCAAAGCTTTATCTGTCTTGCAAGATGTTCGTGGAAAGTCATATTTTCACCTGATTTTTGAGGCCATAAAAATAAAATTACTATCACAAACAAATGACAAGGATAGCAACATTTATTACCGCTATATCATATTGCGTTATGCTCTGTTTTTATTATCACTAATAATGCTAATAATAGGAGAGTTATAGTATTGTAACATTTTTTATTATCATTTGCAGCTGCTTATCTTTTAGTATACAAATGCAACATGTGTCTGACATTATACAAAAAACAAAAAAATGCTAATGAGTTATTTGTTTAATCCAAACAATATGGTTCTCTTTATGCTTAACACGTTTTTTTTTAAAACAGCTGACAAACCCGGAAATCACCATTATGTTGCAACACAATTGCACAGCAGCAAATATGAATTAAGCTATTTGTCATTGCAGGATTGTTTCTTTTCCTTCTTTGCTCCAACATTTATTTCCTCACCATCCCTCAACTGTGCCTGCGGGTCGTTATACAATGAAAACATGTGCTGCTAAAACTTTCAACTTTTTGTGTAATTTTTTTCAATATAATTCCATTATCTGGGGGAAAAATTTTCCAATCTTATAAACTTAAAGGGAGGATAGGGGAAAATAAGCTTATTAAAACATGCTCCAAATGGCAGTTTCTGGACTTTTCCACGTTTGAAACCAAACCTGATTAAGTATCAGACTTCAATTAATAGCTTATTTAAGTCAGAGCATGTAGTAGTTTCTGCAACCTGCAACAGCTCAGAGATAGATTACTGTTATTGTAGGATAAGCAGCGTGGCTTTGAAAGGATTTGTCAGGGCTACAATGTTTGCAGCCTAATGAAAACTTACACAACTCTCCCCAGGTACAAGTCAACTTTATTTATAAAGCACTTACAACAGCAGCTGTTACCAAAGTGCTTAACAGTAAAAGTAGTAATTTCAAGAATAATAATTTTGGGTGTATAAGAAATTAATGCCCAAAGATAAACATCAACTTCATTCATCAGAAGCATTTACTTTAAATGTTTTAGCAGAGAGTTTAATCTCATGTGATTTATGAGTTATTTGACCTTAAACGAATCTAAACTTTAAGCAGCAGGATTTGAAGACCACCTGCTCCGTTTGGACTGCAGCAAATAAAAAAAAAAAAAACGCGCATGCCCTTCTTCTTTGAACTTGTTTTATAACATATTTAATTGCATTTTACTGTGGTTTATTGTCTGTACTTTATACGTTGTCTAAAACAGGTCTTTCTTGTAAATGAGTCCTCGTGACTTAATGAGATTAACCTGTATAAATAAAGGTAGAATGAAAAAAAAAAAAACCCGTATGTAAGCAGCAGGTAGAGCTAGTGATGAGTGACTGCTGGAGCGACTCCGAGGTGTTTGCTGCGGCGCAACACGTCACGGGTTTACCGCACGTGCGGGGCGTGGAATAGTACGGGTGCCTATAAGCAGCTGGAGGAGGCGTGTTGGCGTCGTTGTCAGACGAGCATCACTGAAGGCGCGGAACACATAGAAGGAAGACGTACGTCCGGGTCATATCCACATCTTTTTTTGGCAAGAAAACCATCTTAAATCTGCGACACGTTAATCCCGGAAGGGACGGGACTCTTCTTCTCCCCCCTCATCCACTTGAAGGGGCGTGGAGAGGCTTCTTCAGACGCGTCTGTTGAGTGCTTTACCCACGCAGCCGGTGAGTGAGTTTAAGTGTGTTTCCCCCTAATTTGAAATGTATGCTAAAACGTCAACGGTGAACACGTGAAGCTGTGTTTTCTGTCAGGGCAGCCATCATTAAACGTATTGGGACTATTTTCTAACGCGGAAGCCGTTAAAAATCGTAGCATGCTTCAAAGGAAGCACGCCGCTTCAGCGTGCAGCGCTAAAATATCCGCACGTGAGTGACATAACTGGTAGACAGTGATAAATATGAGGTGCTTAGGAGCGCGCAGGGTTTTCTGTCTATGAATGAGTGTCTGTTCTCGAAACTTCCTGCCACCTGATAGGTGCATCAGCGTCCGGTCGACGGCGTCACCTCCTGCTCCGTTTTCTCCGCGGCAGTCTCTGGCTGTCATTCGCATCTGTCCATTTATTAAAGCGTCATTGTTCTCCACGGCCGCGTGTTGTGTTGCCACCAGCGGCTCGCTTTTAAACTCCAAGAACAGAAAATGGCGTTGTTAAAAGTGTTTTAGCTGATTCACGACCTGCATAAAGTAAGCAGCTTTCAAGTTTGGGTTAAGTGTTAATCGGAAGGTTGCGGGTTCGATCCCAGCCCCATCCCACTCACCCAGGACTCCTTGGTAATGCCAATAATTTATCGCAGTGGGATTTTACTGGTTAAACAAAGGGCATAAAAGGCAACATTTCCCGTGTCTGGTGTATTTTAGGTTAGTTTAAGTAGCACTTTATTGTCTTAAAACAAATATGTGAATATAAGTCATGTTATTTGTTATACGTGTGTTTCAATATTCACATTCATTCAGCCTTTTATTTATACACGTTTTTCTCATTGAGTCACGAGGACTCTTACAAGAGAGACCTGTTTGAGACATATTTGTTTTAAAGTATTTGTTATAACGTATTCACATATTTGCTTTAAGATAAGGTGCTACTAAAACAACCAGGAAGGGGAAGATTTACACATTTTCTTGCACTTGAACCTGCTTTATGACAGCCCAGTGCTGAGTCACCTTGATACATGTAAATAAACACAATTACTTTATACAATATTAAGAGATTTAATGAATTAATAATTTTGCTTCTTCTTAAAAATACTAGTATGTTGAATTCATTATTCATCCAGTTCCTTTGCTTCTTTTTGCGGTGTAGGAATGCCTTCTTTTGAATTATTCCAAGAATCTCCGGTCAACCAAGTCCCAAATATTTTCAGCACTTCCAGAGGTACAGTAGGATGACTACACTCACAAAACTGAGCCATTATTTTTGATCAGGTCTGTTTGAACTTGAACCCCCTCCAGCCTTTTAGTGAAATCAGTAGGGATGCACGATATTATCGGCATGGTATTGGTATCGGCCGATATTAGCGATAAAGTAAAATATCGGACATCGGCCATTCCATCAAAATAACTCGCCGATATAAAAGGCGCTGTTTTAAAAAAAATTTATTGCATATTTATATAGTGTTGCATCACTTTCAGCCTCCTTTTTGGCGTCTACGTTTGGTAACAAGCCAAATTGACAAAAGACCGTGCAGAATATAGTAATGTAATAATGTAGTAGTAGTAGTAGTAATAGTAGTAATGTAGTATTTTAATTCCACAGCAGAGATAGCTATGTAGTCTCTGTAAGTAGGTTTGGGGGGAAATATAATAGTATTGATATTGGTTATCGGCTAAATAAGTTTTAACATATTCGGATATTGGCCAAAAATCCAATATCGTGCATCCCTAGAAATCAGTAATCAATATGTATTTTGTATGACAACAAAACCTGCTTTAATGTCTAAAAGAAAGTTAATAATGCTGGAAAAGTTTAAAAATAGTGGCTGCACAAGACTGTTTTGAAATAAAAAAAAATGTGGGTAGTTGTGGCGTCAGAAATCCACTTTAGTCTTGGCGTCACTCAGATTGATAGCTCGTTAAAATCTTGTTTCCAAACTCTGGCTGTTCAAAGAGCTATATAAAACAGTTAAGCTTTTAAATAATCCAAAACCATTACACAGAACTTCACTTCAAACATTACAAGCTATCTCTTTGAGTCGTGTTGAATTTGTATTCTGGCTCAGAGTTGAGTCATTAGCACTTTTTAGCATCAAAATCCTCCAAACTCACACTTCAGTGTCGTCATTGTTGGACGTCACGAGTCTGAACATTTTAATTCAGACTATTGTAACTCTTACTGTGCAAGAACGATGTGAAATTCCAGAGGAATAACAAAAAGTTATGACACGTTTATTAGTTTGTGTTTCATTTAGCTGTCAGTTTAGTCACTTGATGTTACATTTGCAAAAACTTGCATCGAACTGAACGTCTCTTTAGTTTCAGTCCAATTGGGCAATGCTGACCACAGTCACTGAGACTGGAGGCACTTCACATATTTTTAACTGTACATCAAAGGGCGGCACTTATCTTTGAGAAACCATCCTAGGAATAAAGGAAAACACTTTTAACAGAAATCCACAAATAAAATAATAAAATTTTATTTTGCAGTCAAGGTTCATACAAGAGATAGATTCTAAAAATAAACATTATTTAAAAAATTTAACCTTTATACAATGATTATGTATAAAGTTTTGAGATTTTTTTGGTTATTTTAAATTTAGGCAAGTTTATTATTGCTTGAAGACAAAAGTCCTCATGCATGTGCAGTGTAGGAGATGTGTAGCAGTTATAGTTTTCTACTCTCTTGACTCATCTTGCATAATGTTTCAACAATGGCATGGTCTCACTTGGATTTAAAAAGATCAACCGCAAAATCTAAGGGAGGTTAGCCCACTTCTGAGTGCTACTGGAAAAATATTGCAACACACAAACCCAACTCAATTACAGCTGTGAAATCCTATTTATCTTTTTATATTTCATAATCTATTTTATTAATAGCTTTTGAGTGTTTTGAATTATGTGTCTGTGGACTTTCCATTCAAAGTCTGTAATTTAGTTACTTTTATGTTTTTGTTCTGTGCTTAACACTGCACCTCGTGATACATTTGTGTTCAGTGTTTTTCCATCTTCAAGTCAAGATTCTAATGAAGTGTTTGTCTTTCCTGTTTTGCAGGAATAATCAACCATAGCTTTTCTAGACCAGTGGCCTGCAACGTTCTCCTAAAACTAAAACGACCTCTGTGCCCGTGGAACACATCCTTGAGTGTTTTTTTATCGGACTGTGGATCCCTCTCCAACTTCAGTTCGACAACAAACCAAAACTAATCGCATCAATTGCTTCTTTTATCTACATCGCATCTAAAACCTTCAGCACATTCCCATATTTTTTGGAGGCATTCATTTAACTGGGAGCTTCAAGACCTAATCTGTAAAAATGCGTTCTGGAATGGAAGCAGCGGACATTGCAGTGGTAGCAGTGTATTTTGTCCTGGTGCTAGCCATCGGGCTTTTCGCCATGTGGAAAGCTAATCGTAGCACTGTGAGCGGCTACTTCCTGGCTGGACGCTCCATGACATGGGTAGTGATTGGTGCATCACTGTTTGTCAGCAACATTGGCAGTGAACACTTCATAGGGTTGGCTGGGTCAGGAGCAGCAAGCGGCTTTGCTGTAGGAGCGTGGGAATTCAATGCGCTTTTATTGTTGCAGCTGCTCGGCTGGGTGTTTATCCCCGTGTACATCCACTCAGGAGTCTACACTATGCCAGCCTACCTGTCTAAACGCTTTGGTGGGAACAGGTTAAAGGTTTACTTTGCATGCCTGTCCATACTACTTTACATTTTTACCAAGCTCTCTGTGGATTTGTACGCAGGTGCTCTCTTTATTCAAGAGTCTCTGGGGTGGAACCTTTATCTTTCTATTGTTTTGCTCATCAGTATGACTGCTCTGCTCACTGTCACTGGTGGACTGGTGGCAGTGCTGTACACAGATGCCCTTCAGGCTGTGTTGATGATTGGTGGAGCTCTAACCTTAACCATCATAAGCCTTATCAAGGTGGGTGGGCTAGAAGGTGTCAGAACTAAGTACATGCAGGCAGTTCCTAATGTTACTGCCATCATGGCAACTGGAAACTTCACTTATTCGCCTTCTTGTCGCATTCATCCTAAACCAGACTCACTACGCATCCTTCGTGGTCCCCTGGATGAAGATATCCCTTGGCCAGGTTTCATTCTGGGTCAGACTCCTGCATCCATTTGGTACTGGTGTGCAGACCAAGTCATTGTTCAGAGAGTACTGGCTGCGAAGAACATTGCTCACGCTAAGTGCTCAACTCTCATGGCTGGATTTCTCAAGATCCTGCCTATGTTTGTGATAGTCATTCCAGGAATGATCTCCCGCATCATGTTTGTAGATGAGATTGCCTGCATTGGGCCAGAACACTGTATGTCCGTATGTGGGTCTTCAGCTGGCTGCTCAAACATTGCCTACCCACGCTTGGTCATGGCAGTGATGCCTGTGGGACTCAGGGGCCTAATGATGGCCGTCATGATTGCTGCTCTGATGAGTGATCTTGACTCTATCTTCAACAGTGCAAGCACCATCTTCACCCTGGACATCTACCAAACTATTTGGAAGAAGGCCTCTCAGCGGGAGCTGCTCATTGTGGGCCGTATGTTCGTAGTGGTCATGGTGGTGATCAGCATTGCCTGGGTCCCTGTTATTATTGAGATGCAAGGTGGCCAGACATACCTCTACATTCAGGAAGTTGCTGGCTACCTCACCCCGCCAATTGCTGCCCTTTTTCTCCTCGGTGTGTTCTGGAAGCGGTGTAATGAGACGGGTGCCTTTTGGGGAGGTATGACGGGGTTCACCCTTGGATCTCTACGACTGATCCTAGCGTTCATCTACCGTCAGCCACGCTGTGACCAGCCAGATGACAGGCCTGCCTTCATTGTTCACGTTCACTACATGTATTTTGCAGCTGGGCTGTTCTGGATTTCAGGGCTGGTGGCGGTGGTGGTCAGTGTGTTCACCGCTCCACCAGAGGTTGAACGGGTTCGCACCACCACAGTCTGGGGGCTCCGTTACATCAAGAAGGTTCCCGTGAGCAACCAAGGTGAAACTTATCGACTGAGTGAGAAGAGCCAATGCAACGGCAACGGAAGTATCTACAAAGAAATGCCCCCAGATGTCAAAAAGGAGATGTGCTTAGATGGAGCTGATGTCAAACTTCTGGTCCCATATACAGATCATGACCCAGCAACCCCCAGCACAGAAACATCCCCCGCCAGCACCCCTGCTGAAAGAAGGATGGAGACGACCAGAGCCGAGGAAGGCTGTCAGGGAAAAGTTGAGAAACACAAGCTCATTCGTTTACTTGAATGTTTTTGTGGATATAAAGAAGAGCCACAGAATTCTCCACAGAAAGTTCTGCAAGAAGATGAACAAGTTATTGCAAAGATGCTGTACGAGCCGCCAAGAATAAAACTTCTCCTCAACTTGGCCCTGATCGTTGTCTGCTCTGTGGGCATTTTTATGTTTGTTTATTTCTCACTGTAGCCGAACCTTGCACTGAATTAGCTGGGACTGTTGTGAGAAATTTTATTATGGTGTAAGATATGTCAGAATAGAGTTTTGAGCTGTTACACCATTGAAATAAAAAAAACTAACTCGTCTGTAATATTTACAGTTGTTTTTCGTAGCTCTAACGTGGGTATAAGCTTATTATAATTTATAAACGAGTAAAGTGAGGTGAATCCACCTTAAAAATATACTTCTACATGACTTTGAATCCTGTTGTTTTTAAACTTGCATTCAAAACATCTGGGATTTTTAGAAATATTCTATAAGATAATTTAATATTTGCCTTATTTTAAAAAATGTAGTTTTTGTTAGTTTTGTGCTTGAGAGAACAAGTTCAAGTGTAATCCAGACCTCTTTTTCAAAGGGGAAAACAACTAAAAGGTTTCTTTCACTGATGGTGTTGCATACTCTGTAATGGTTTCATTGATTATTGAAGTTATTGGTTTGATTAGTCCATTCAATGTGCTGCATAGTTGCACTCAAGCATACCGTTATTACTTAGTATTAAGAAATGTTTTCAGGTTTTGCAGCTCAAAGTGAAAAAGAAGCACAATATGAATACTGAAGGTTAGTCAGTTTCTTATGAGAATATATAAATGGTACATTTGGATTGAGCGTGTAGTGAGTGTCACTTATGACCAAATTCCAGTTGTAACTGGAGCTCTATTGCTATTTTTAATGGTGTCTATAATGTGTTTTCCACTACTGTGTTGTTAAATATTTGTGGTTGTATTTTGCGTTATAGTTCACATCAGCTGTTAATGCACTATTGTGTTGTACCAACTAAAGTACTGATGCTTTATGACTCTGTAAATTTTTATTTGTTCTCATTTTCTGTTTCCACATAAAAATAAAGCCAAGTTTTTTTGTTTGTCAATCTGTACAAAGATTTCAGGGCTCATTTCATCAAACCCTATTAGTTAGCTGTCTCTTGTATACCTTCTGTGTGTCAATAGTGCACTTCAGTGCTGAGATGACATTTATTCTCCTTTCAAGTGCATTTTCTATAAACTACCAAATGTGTCTTATTGTGCAACGCTAACATGACAAAATTTATATGGGAAAAATACGAAGAACACATGTTTCATGTCTTGATTTTGTTCAGTGAATACCACGTTTCTTTGAATCCGTGTGAAAAATAATATTTTTGCTTTCATGTATTTTCATTTAATGGAGACAAAACAAAAATGACATACATGTCAGCATTAGCACTTTGCTGGAGCTTAGTCATAATGTTATCAGTGGGAATTATTTTTGGTTTGTAAATTGGCTGACTTTTCTGGATTGTGGTCATCATTTCTACCATGTAGCATGTCCAGATCTTAAAAACCTAACTCCCCAGAACACACAGACAAAAAGGAAAAAAGCTGCTTGAACCATCTTGAGTTTGACACCAGTGTTGACTTTACCTCAGTGCAGAATGTCAGAGTGAACGTGATGGGCCGAGCTTTACTCGTGTCACCCCATGTTTGATGGATAAAATGGTTGCTGTACGGAAAAGAGCTTTAAAAAATTTCTCAAGAGAATATACATTGTTATTTTTATGGACTTTATTTTTAGAGAATGCAAATAAAAGATTTTGCTGAGACCAAATGCTTTTTTTCATTCATTATTTTCTGAATGAATTGCTAAAAATATAAAAATTAACTGATATAAAGCCAGTTTTATTTATTGTAACCAGTTTAAGATACTGAGCCAACTAATTACTGTTCCTTAAATTTTATTCTTAATTTAATTTCGGTTACCAGCTGAAGAGCTTTAAATAAATTAGCATTTTCTGAAAAATGACAGTGTGAATGCAGACTGAAAACTGAGTTGTAAAAGTTAAAAGTAGCAGAATGGCAGCAAAAAACTAAAACGTTGCTAAAGTTTTCCCAACCTTGGCTAAAAGCTAAAAATTAGTTAAACTGTGACTAGCCAAAAGCTAAACGATGGACAGTATAGATAAAATCAGAATGTGTGAAGTAGATTCTGAGAGCAATGTTTTTGAAAAAATTGGAAGAATCTAAATGCATTTGTATGGAAAATAATTTTGTCAGTAAAGTTTAATTACTCAGCCAAAAGTAGAAAGACATGCTAAAAGTCATAGCACACTTTTCCCAATCAAGCCAAATATTGTGTGAATGTGATTAAAATGGCACAAAATATGTGTAAGTAGTTTGTTTCAGGACTTAATTTGAGCCAGATCCTGCTGGAATAGGATCTGGGAACCCTCTTATTTTGACAGGGTGCATTCCGGTAACTGTTTGCTAAAGTTATGAACAAATGTGACTGCCTTGAACAAATAAAACCTATATATGTAATCTGCAAATAATTACATAACCACTAATTGTAAACATAACAGCTACTTACAAGCTTCCTGATATCAGATGAGCTGGTCTGTAGGCATTTCTGCTTCTACCCTTAAAAATCTCTGCCCCTAAAAGGACAGTGATGGGAAATTTAATGAAAACACAAAAATATAATTAAACAACACAACTAAATTGCCAATGGGATAGATAGGATGCTTGAGAGAAGCAAAGCATGCTCTATTCACACAAGGAGAGCTGTTGGTCAGGCTACTCTGAAATAGTTATTGAATCAAGTGTTTACATGTGTAGGTAAACGTAGATGCTTAACAACCCGTTAAAATACATCAGAATGCAGGAAATGGCATCTACTTTATTCAAAATTTTCTGAGGGAGCTCTTGCATCTGCCGCATGCGGCCATTTGACCGCACCCTGACCGTCCGGTTGAAAGAGGTAAAAAGTTCAGTTAAGCTTCAGATGGACTACTGCCAGTGATCCATCAGCCCAAATGGACGTTCATTCAACCACTGCACTCAGCGGACGCACGCGACCGATGACCCCAACAGGTGAGATCACAAAATGTCTGACATGTCAGAGCAGGGTTCAATGTAGGCAGAAGCAGGGGAAGCATTTAATGCACTTTGAGGGCTCCTCAGCTCCAACCTTCTGCCCCTTTTCTCAGCTGCGCGCGTCCGAAGACCGTTAATAATAGTCGATGCTATAAGCAGTCAAAGCTTAATTAAAATGTCATTTTTTTTCTCCTGTAATTACTGTTAATTCATCAGATCGGGTAGGGTTCGGAGATGATGACTGCGGGCTGGGGCCGGGTTGGTTCAGATTATTTGGACCCAAGTGCAACTCTAAATCTGAGGTATTTAATGTTTGTTTGTTTTTTGTCATTTTTAATCTACAGAATTTTAAATTTAAATTCAAAATAGTTAATTATTAAAAAAAAAAACGTTCAATACAAAAACAACTGGACTTTATTTGTAACAGAAGACGTTTCGCTCCTCATCCGAGGAGCTTTTTGTTTTTGTATTGAACGTTTTTTGAATTCATCATGTCCTGGATGACTGAGAATCTTCACCAGCAGTTAATTATTTTCTAATTTTAAATAATATTTGTTTATACATTCATCTAAAAAACCAAAGAAGAATCTTTCCAGATGACCTGACAACATTTTTGTGAAAAGTGCAGGGGTTTTAAATACATCACAAACCAGCCACTGTAGAATTTAAGAAACTTTATTAATTGGCCAAGCTGTTTATAACAAGGGAGCACAAGCCAGTGTATCTTTTGTGCTGGTCCCAAGCCTGAATAAATGGTGAGGGTTGTGCTAGGAAGGGCATCTGATGTAAAATACTTTTGCCAAAACTATAATGCAAGTTCAACAAAGCGGGAGGCAAGTGGAACTGAGCAGTGTGGCTACAAGGAGCAGAGGACACAAAGGTGCAAGACTTCAAGGACTTGGGGCCCATTGTCCTGGAAAATGGGGAGTGTGGTAAAGAGGTGAAAAAGAGAGTCCAGGCAGGCTGGAGTGGATGGAGAAAAGTTTCAGGAGTGATTTACGACAAAATTGTGTCAGCAGAGGTCAAACAAAAAAGTTTACAAGACAGTGGTGAGCCCAGCTATATTGTATGGTCTGGAGACAGTGGTATTGACAAAAAGACAGGAGAAAGAACTGGAAGTGGCAGAAATGAAGATGTTGAGGTTCTCCTTAGGAGTGACAAGGCTGGATAAGATTAGGAATGAGATCATCAGGGGTACAGCACAGGTTGAACAACTGGGAGATAAAGTTAGAGAGGCCAGACTGAGATGGTTTGGACATGTTCAGAGGAGGGACAGTGGGTATATTGGTAGAAGGATGTTAGAAATGAAGCTGCCAGGAAAACGACAAAGACGAAGGCCAAAGAGGAGATATATGGATGCAGTTAGAGAGGACATGGAGGTAGTTGGAGTGAGGACAGAGGATCCAGAGAACAGACTGAGATGGAGGGAGGGAAGTCTGGGATTGTCATCATTGTATGTTCCCATACAATGGCAAAAGTGGTTCTTTGCATTTTACCCATCACACCTAAGATACAACCAGGTGGCGCAGTAGGCAGCTATGTAAGCGCCCGGGGACCAATTGGGGATTAGGTGTCTTGCTCAGAGACACCACGGCATGTCAGAATGGCTGGGAGTCGAACCGCAATTTTCTGGTCTCCAGTTGGCTGCCCTGCCTCTACCCCATGGAGAAGGATGACTCGCTGTGGCAACCCCTGAAGAAGGAAAAAGCTGAAAGAAGAAAAAGAAGGAGGAGGAGTTTTAAATTCATCACTCATCATCATACTGTGTTCATTTTTCTGTGTTTTCTATACAGTACATGGAGCTCTCTGGTATTATTGACTGGGATTACATAAACCCCAGCAAGGCTGTATTAATCTGCTCAGAGCAGAACGTGGATTGGTTATGGCCAAGCTTCTTTAGTGAACAGTCAACCAATCAAAGAGCCAACATCAGAGGCTTATGAGCCCCCACGATCTACAGTTTAACTCCATACATCTTTTTATCCCCTATCAGCACATGTACTTTTCCATAATTAAGTGTGGATTAAAAGTTATCTCACGGACACTGTCCTGAAAACTGGTTTTTGGTTTGCTTAGTTTAAAACAAAACCGCGAAAATCTAAATTAAGCAATGCTACACACTTTAAAAAAATATAAAACGGACGATCAGCACTGTTGATTTAATCTCTTTGAGTCAGCGTGACATTTAGAGGTCATGATCAGTATTTAGATGATG